AATACTGTTAGATCCACAGCAGAGATCAACTTAAAAAAAAAAAAAAAAAAAAAAAGTTAGAATGCATGCCCATCAAACCAGGCTCCCTCTTCCTTTCCCTAACTACCACTTCTGGGGCCACATAGAGGAAAAGTACATTGTTTAATAAATTTACTGCCTTTGAGTTCTTTTAAATTATATATTCATCAGTTTTATTACTTATCCATCCTAATCCAAATTTATTTATATACTACAAGGCACTGACATTATCTTTCAACCTACTACACTGTGAAAGATAAGAATCCTAGTCCTTTATGACTCTCTCATCTACACGAAGAAGCCCATAAACCATATCTGCTTTATGGCTTTAAAACTGCATTCAGTTCTACTAAGAGAACTGAGAAACTGAATCTTTCATTTTTCAGTTACTTGCATGACTCAAGCACACCGTTAATAGTTTCTGACCATTTACTACATATATAAGGCAGAGTTGCACATTGTGAAATGTACAGAAACAAATAAGATAGTACTCATCCCCATGAGTTTTAAAATATAAAATGAAAGAGAAGACATAAATAACTTCAATCAGTGGTACTACTGACTTCCATTGCTTTATTGAATGGAACAGTTAATACTTAATTGTTTGATCAATCTTGCATGCCTATATTTGTTTAACTGAGTAACCAATTTGAAAATAACAATATGTAATACAACAACCATTGTTAATTTCCTATCACCTTGTCTGAAATTCTGTGTTGCTTCTATTGTTTGGGTGTTGTTTTGTTTATGTCTGTTTGTTTGTTAATCTGCTTTCATTCTTTTATCTTTAAAATAAAAATAAATAAATAAATAACTGCAATCTAAGAAAGGCGGGAAAATTGTCTCAATAATGGTAATATGCACCACAAGTTGAAGGCACAGAAGTGGTAAAGTTAAAGAATAACTGGAAATTTGGCTTAGAGAAATTGGAAAAAAGGGATTACAAGCAGATGGAGCAGCGTGAGCAAAGGCATGATGGAGGAAGAGACTACATTAATAGTTGATGACCACAGCTATCATTTCCCGAACACTTATTCTGCACACTATTCCAAATGACTTACATTCAAGATCCCATTAACACTCACAGCAACCGTATGAGGTAAATAATACTCATAATTCCATACTGCAGATGAGGAAAACTAAGCCTAGAGAAATTAAAGAATTGGCCCAAAGTGCCATGATTAGGAGGCATTATTTCTTTGAAATGCTTTTTTGCCTAATTTAAAGGACAGCACCACAGTTCCACAATTATAAATGTGTTGATGGATTACATATAATGATGTAATTTGTATGGCAATAAAAGCATAATGATGGATGGTTGAGGGCAGCCTCTAGAGGTGAAGTTTCTGTATAATTTTGAAATTCAGTTGGTA